AAGGGCCAGCAGCCTCAGCGTGGCCTGGGAACTTGAGAGAAATAGACATTCTGGGAGTCCACCCCAGAGGTATTGAACCTGAGAGTCTAGAAGTGGAGCCCAGAAAGCTGTTTTTTAAATAAACCCTCCAGGGGATTCTTGTGCACACTCAAGTTTGAGAACCATCATCTAGAAAATGAAAAGTAGCTCAGGAAAGAAATTTGGAGATCACCTAGAGTAGTGTTTCTCAAACGTTAATGTGCAAAAGAATCACCAGGACTGTATTAGCCTGCTTTTGTGCTGCTGATAAAGACGTACCTGAGACTGGGTAATTTATAAAGAAAAAGAGGTTTAATGGAGTCATAGTTCCATGCGGCTGGGGAGGCCTCACAATCATGGTGGAAGCCCAAAGGTGGTGACAAGAGAGAATGAAAGTCAAGCGAAAGGTGTTTCCCCTTATAAAAGCATCAGATCTCTTGAGACTTATTCACTACCACAAGAACAGTACGCGGGAAACGGCCCCCATGATGCAATTATCTCCCACCGGGTACCTCCCACAACACGTGGGAATTATGGGAGCTACAATTCAAGATGAGATTTGGGTGGGGACACAGCCAAACCATATCAAGGACCATCTTAAATGCAAATTCTGATTTGGCAGGTCTGGAGTGGGCCCCGAGAATATGCATTTCCAGCCAGGTGCCAGGTGATGCTCATGGTGCTGGTCCAGGGACCATGTGCAGAATAGCATGAGGCCAATCCAATCCCTGTCACCCAGGGAGTTTCTGGCAGTAACAGAACTGGATTTGCTCTGGGTGAAAAAAAAAAAAAAAATCATTCCCTTCAGGGAAGGTTCAAATCCAGGCTTCTGGAGGGGCTTTCAGAGGACAGGAAATGACCCAGATCACACACTACTATTTTTGCAAAGTTCTCACTCAGGTATGAGACCATCCTTGAACACTTTAATTGAAGTTGCAGCCCCCATCCTGACCCTTCTCTGCTTTGTCCATCTTCTTAGCATTTTGCATCATCTTATCATATGACCTAATTTACTAATTTACTTTGTTTACGGTCTGCCCAACTCCTGCCCATGCCCCAGCATAGAAACTAGGGAAGGATTTTGTCTCTTTTATTCACTGTCGTTTCCCCAGTGCCTACAATAGTGCAGTCTACAGCAGGTGCCCAAAAAGTATTAGTTGAATAAGTGAACAAATGGTTCTGCTCATTTTCTACAAGAAGCTGCCTCCTCATCCTTGGTGTCACCCCTCTGAAATGTCACCTGTCACCGCCCTTTATGTGTACACTCTCATTTTATTGACATTCAATTTCCATAGGTGTGTCTCCTCTAAACTCCTTGACAGTGGGGTCTGTACATCTCCCATTTCTATCCCTCATCCAACCCTTCTATCAGCTCATAAGTGCATCCAAAATTCTGCCAATCTTTGAAAACACATACAAGTAACCCTCTATCCTCACTATAACTAATGCAAAAACTGCAGGAATTTATTGTAGAACACGTCTCAACTTCAACTGGTGATATTAGCAATGCATGCTCATAATTATGTACTGGAGATTGCTCTCAATTCTGTTGTAGTTTCTGCAAGCACTATGTCAAAACTCCTGAAGCATGTCAGATCTTCATGTTTTGAATTTTTGGTTTTGAATTTTGCCTCTTATATGCCAGGAGTCATTTTCGCACAAGATGGAATAGAGAAGAATGTGATAAAACATTGCAATCTGGAGCATGGACATTTCATTGACTCCTTCCAACAGCCCTGTGGTGGGCGTTAATGTCACACTTGCGTTGTAGAGACAGACGCTGAGCCCCATGATGGTACACCTCTGCTTAAGCTCATGCAAGAGTTTAGTAATGGAGCTGGGACCCAAACTCAGTTCTGACTGCTTTCCAAGTCTGTGTTCTTGCAGCCTGCCCCCCGATCCCATCCCTATCCTTCCCACAACCTCCTCTCCCAACCCTTGGCAAGGTCTAAGGCTTTGCTCAGGATTTTTAGAACAGAGAGCACTAGCAAAGGCTACTTCTGAGTTCTGCGTCTAGTGCTGAAAATGAAAACGGCTTAGGAAGTGTTCAGTCTCGCTACCCCAGCTGCATCCCTGTCACCTAATTACCCGACTTCGAAGCCTCCACACAGCAGGTATGAGGATTTAAGAGTTGCCATCACCTCCGCGGAACGTGGTAGGACTAGATACAGATGAGACGGGTCTTTGGAGCTGCTGGTGTACGGAGAAAATCAGCCAGCCCAGGGGCCAGACCTAAATGCCTAGCCTTATGCCTTTTGTTGTCAGAAAGACCACTGAGAGCCTAGGTTCACAGAGGACCAAGGCAAGGAAGGTGGCCTTGAAGTACTAATACTTGGTCATTATTGCCCCTGCTTTCCCTTAAATTTTTTTGTTGTTGTTGTTTTGTTTTTGTTTTTTTTGAGACAGGGCCTTTCTCTGTTGCCTAGTCTAGAGTGCAGTGGTGCAATCACAGCTCATTGCAACCTCAAGCTCCTAGGCTCAAGTGATCCCCCTGCCCCAGCCTCCCAAGTAGCTAGGACCACAAATATGTGCCATCACTCCTGGCTAATTTTTTACCTTAATTTATTTTGTAGAGACAGGGTCTAGTTCTGTTGCCCAGGCTGGTCTTGAACTCCTGTCCTCAAGTAATCTTCCTGCCTCAGTCTCCAGAGTGGCTAGGACAACAGGCATGTACCATCATGCCTGACTAATTTTTTTTTTTATTTTTTTGTGTGTGTGGATGGGGGTCTCACTATGTTGCCAAAGCTGGTCTCAAACTCTTGGGCTCAACTGATCCTCCTGCCTCAGCCTCCCAAAGTGCTGGAGTTACAGGCATAAGACTCTGCATCTGGCCTGTGCTTCCCTTTATACCATGGGGCGTAAGGCTCCCCACGACTCCAGGAGGAAAGGATGCTCAACCTTACCTTCATTACTCAGGTGAGACTGCCAGGTGGAGGGTATGGACAGGGGTGGGGCAGAGTGGGGAGAGTCAGAGCTTGCCCTTGCCACTATCTCACTTCTGTCTTGGGGCAGGGATGTGGGGAGGCCTGAAAGGGCCTAAATGAGAGGCCTCTGCCTGGACTAGACAAGGAAGAGCAAGCCTAGAGCAGAAAGAGGAATTCTCAGAATCTTTTAAACTAAATGACTTCTATAAAGTAAACAGATGCACGTTCATTTGTAATTATTACATAAAGTTGACTGTTACTGACTATTTTATAGTGTTGGACCTGAAGGGGTATGTAATACGTGTTTACAGAAGGAGAGAGAGGGAGAGATTGAGGCTCGACAGCAAAGCATTGCAATTTCTTACAAAGGACTGGACTAAGCCAGGCACTGTGTTATGTCCTCAAGTGTGCTGAGTTATCAAAAGCTCATTGGCACCCAAGGCAGGCATGATAATTATATTAGTCTGTTTTTATGCTGCTGATAAAGACATACCCATGACTGGGTAATTTATAAAGAAAAAGAGGTTGAATGGACTCACAGTTCCACGTGGCCAGGGAGGCCTCACAATCATGGTGGAAGGCAAAAGGCACTTCTTACATGGCAGTGGCAAGAGAGAATGAGAAAAAACAAGCAAAAGGGGTTTCCCCTTGTAAAACCATCAGATCCCGTGAGACTTATTCATGCCACAAGGATAGTATGGGGGAAACCGCCCCCATGATTCAATTATCTCCCACCAAGTCCCTCCCATAACATGCGGGAATTGTGGGAGCTACCATTCAAGATGAGATTTTGGTGGTGACACAGCCAAACCATATCAATTATTATTCCTTTCACACAGATGAAAATACTAGGGACAGAAATGTGAAGTGACTTGCCCAAGGTCAGGCAGCTGCCAAGTGGCAGCGCCAGGATTTGAAACCAGAGCCCATATCTGGTGTCTCAGTTTTCTTCTTCCTCCCTACCTTTTGCCAGCCATGACCTTGAATGGGGGTGAGGAGGAGAAAGGAAGCTGGGGGAGGCAGAGCTTGGGTGGTCTGGCTTTCTCATCAAAATTCCAGACCAATATGATACCACAGAAAGTGAGCAGAAAAGGAGTTAGGGATCTGGGTTCAGGTCCTGACTGTCACTTCTTCACAGTGACTTTTCATTGCTAGACTCAGTCTTCACATCTGTAAAATGGGGAGAATTACAATGCTGGTTCAAAAACGTACCATGAGGAGAAAGAAAAAGCAGAGACAGACTTGGGAGCCAGGCGCGGTGGCTCCCGCCTGCAATTCCAACACTTTGGGAGCCTGACGGGGGAGGATCACTTGAGGTCAGGAGTTTAAGAGCAGCCTGGCCAACATGGTAAAACCCTGTCTCTACTAAAATTACAAAAAAAAAAAAAAAAAAAGCCAACATGGTGGCACGGGCCTGTAGTCCCAGCTACTCAGGAGACTGAGGCAGGAGAATTGGTTGAACCCAGGAGGCGGAGGTTGCAGTGAGCCAAGATCACACCACCGCCCTCCACCCTGGGTGACAGAGCAAGACTCCATCTCAAAAAAAAAAGAAAAAAAAAGACAGAGAGAAAAGGATTTGGCAAATTCTAACTCAGGATTAGCAAATTACAGCTGAGGGCCACAGCCAGCCTGCAGTCTGTTTTTGCAAATAAAGTTTTATTGGAATAAATTAAGTTGTCAAGACTGTTTCTGTTTCTGTATTGTTTACAGCTGCTTATGGTCTGCAAAGCCTAAAATATTTGCTATCTGGTCAACTTGAGAAAGTGTGCCAACCCCTGGCCTTAGATGCTATGAAAACGAGAAGTACCACTGTGCCTCAGCACACAGCATTAGGCATTTCCAGCATCTTCCATCAGCTCTGGTTCTTATTCAGAATTGCCCTCCCTTGACCCCCCTACTGAAATGTAGAGGTGCATTTCAAATCTATTTCTGAAAAACAAAGCAAACAGCTCTCCCAAGAGTGAAGGAATCAAATTCCCGAAAGCTGTTTCAGTGACCTGCATAGTCCTAGCTGACATTGGGTGCTGGAAAAAGTCACCGCAGGGCACAGCCACTTACTTGCAGTTTTTACACTTGAGGCCAAAAAGCATCCCTTTCCCACAGACTGTGCATGTCTGAGACATCCAGTACTTGGTGGAAAACCTGTGGAAAAGAGACAGAAAATGTTCAAGGTTAAGGAAACGGCAGCTGACCTATCTCTAGAGGGATGAAGCACTTGAATAGCAAGCACACGAACCCTGGATTCCAGTCCTGTTTCTTCCGAGCTGTGTGACTTAATCAAGTTGCTTAAACCACTGGAACCTCTGTTTCCCCATCTGTAAAGTCCAGATAATAATAGTATTGACCTCGTAGGTTACTGGGGAGATTAAATGAGGTCAGTCAGGCACGTCAAGGGCTCCGTACAGTGCCTGGTACATAGTAAGCACTCAGTAAATTGGGTTGTGACTATACTATTACCTTGAACATTCATAAGGGTCATTCATTTGTTCAACAAATATTGCCTGGTGGCCTACGATATGCCAAGGTCAGTTCTGGGACAGAGCAATGGATAGGGCTGGAACTGCCTGCAGAAAGCTACAAAGCAAGGTGGAGCCTCCTGGGGGACCCACTGAACCATCTCCCATCAGTTGCTGGTCACACCACCTGGGGAGTATCAAAGGGAGCCCTCCCCTCCCGAAAGATCTGAGAACCCAAACTTCAGTGGCAGAGAAGAGTCTTTGAAAGTGAAAGCCATTTCAGACCATCAGCTCACCTTGCTCTCCAACCCCATCTACTTGCTGCAAACATGGGTAGTTTGGAGGTCTCCCGCGTACAACTATAAACCAACTGGAGCAGAGGTGCATTCGATTAACTCCCTGGGCACATCTCCCCTCGATATTGCCAGGGTGCTTTCTTCCCCAAGAGATATGAGGCAGTGGCAGGACTGGGCCCAAGAAAAGTACTGAAGGTTGCCAGGTCACAGTTAATTTTAATTTTCAATGTGTGTCACCGTCAGCAGGAGTTGTATCTAATCTCTACTGCCTCAGAGTGTCAAAAGGGAAATCGGAAGTGATTACATAACTTGGAGTCGGAGAATTTCGAGGGAAAGGTTGCATCCCTCTGTTGGACCGTTTTGCCTGATTTGGGTCAGTCACTCTCCAAACAAAATAAGCCACAGCCCAAAGCCTCCAAATCTAAGCAAATAGCAATATTCTGAGCAAAGACGCTTAATGCCAAGAAAACTCTCCCTCTCTGGTTTTGGATTTGTGAGTTGGTCAAGCCTCTTTCTTTCCCTTCAGCAGAGCCAGTGAGTTTAGCAGACTCTGTTTTGCAGAATTTGGCAGCTCTGGGGAATGGCAGCGAAGGAGCGTGTATTTCACTCATCAGCCAGCCACACAGGAATGGCAGGCAGGCGTCAGAAGCAGTGGGTGACAGTTTTTTCTCCTTTCCAGCCCTCTCTTGTGCTTGGGATCGGCTCTGCCTCTTCCCCAGCTCTGGTTGAAGTGACTTGGATGGCAGCAGATGGGATTTTAATTTCATTTCTTCACCAAGGCTGGGGTGAGGTCCAGTTCTCTCTACCTCCTGGCATTAAGCCCAGGCAGAAACACAGGGAGAGACTGAAGAGTAGTAGGTCATCCCAAGTCTCAGTTCCTCTGGGAAGACACTCCTACAATTAACAGGTTGTCTCCCTCCTCCGGGCATCAGCTTTTGAATCTTAGGGACTACTAGAGAGCCTGGGGGCTGGGCGATCTAAGGGGTGGGGCTGAGCCAGGGGCATGGCCAATCCAGGAGCCGAGCTGAGCCAGAGGAGTGGCTGACCCAGGGGTGCGGCCGAGCCAAGGGCGTGGCTGAGCCAGGGGCGTAGCCAATTCAAAAATGGGGATGAGCCAGGGGCAGGGCCAGTCCCGGGAGCATGATCGATCAAGGGGCGTGGCCAATCCAGGGGTGGAGCAGAGCCAGAGAGCAGTGAGGAGGAAAATACAAAGAAAAGCCCTCGTCTTTGATGCCCTTCTCTCTGCAGCTCAAGGCCTGACCATTGACGTGTCTATCACACACTTCTCACTGCTTCCTCCAAAGTTTTCTCATTTAAGCCTTAACAACTATCCTGTCAACACACTTCTTTCAAAAACTGTTGATGAGATGCCATTCCGTGAGTCCCCATCATGAGAATGCTCATCTCTGCCATGGCCCCAGCCATGGTGATGCATCTGGCCCTGCTATCACCCCACATTGTCACCCTGATCTCTCCATACTGTCGTGGTCTGTTAACTATCTGACCCTCCCCTAGAGCACAAGCTCCCCAAGGGAACAGGCCTTACGTCTTGGTCAGGGCTGTAACTGTGGCACAGAAACTGTAAATACAAGTGGAAAGAATCCATGAATGAGTGAACAGGTCCCCCAGCGAGTTCACAGAGGCCCTGGTGCTAGGAAAACTCAGCAGGGTGTCAAAAGAACACAAAGTACTGAGGCTAATTAGCTTTTCGACCTATCGCTTAATCTCCCAGGGCCTCAGTTTGCCTATCTGTCCAATGGCCATGAGCACACTTGCCCCACTCACCCTGCTAAGTTTGTGAGGAGACTGGAACTACCAAGATGAAGTGGGGAACGCTAAATTCAGGGAGTTAAAGGACTTCTTATAAGGGATGCCTGGTATATGCAAACCCCCCTCCCCAAAAAGGCAGGCATAGCCCTGGAGAGGACCACCTGTTCCATGCACCCAGCAGGGCTAGAGCTCTGGACTGACCTCCGCCACACCAGAGAACGGACACCTGCAATCTTGTGTATTCTGGGTGAGGAGACCAAAAATTAGGACATAAAGCATTAATCTTAAGAATGATACTGTTTATTAAGTGTTTGTTATGTGCCAGGCCCTGTGCTAAGCACTTTACATATATTATCTCATTTAATCTGCACAGTCACCCTATAGGTAGGCAGAATTATCTCAGGAAAAAATTGAGCCTCAGAAAGGTTAAGTAACTTCCAAGGTTGCAAAGCTATACGAGCTGGGATTGGAACACGGGTCAGTCTGACTCCAAAGCCCTGGCTTTTAACTGCTATGTGCTAATTTTGTAAGGGTCAGATTAGTAAGAAGCAGATGTCTCAGTCCCCTGGTTGCCACTTTAAAGTTTAGCCTAGCAGAGGAGAAAGGGACATGGTGATGTAGGTGCTGGAGCTCAACAGCCCAGCTTTCTCCCACCCAGGGCAGGGGCCAGAGCCCCCACCCCTCACAGGGCTGTGAAGTAGGCACCAGTGCACACAGGAATCCAGCCTACCTGTGCTTGATGGAGTTGCCGAGATCTCTGCGAGGGATCTGCGGGGACCAACGTGGCACAGACAGTGTGTCTACAGAGAAAAGAGAACAGCCTGTTACACAAAGAGTCAGAGACTGGGGTGGGCTCTGGCAAGTCCTGGAAGGAAAAGGGGGCGCTCGTCACCCTCAGGAAGGACACCAGTTGCCATCACTTGCTAAACCAAAGCCAAGTGGAACACTGGTTTAGCTTGTCACCTCAACTCACGCAAGGTCCCCTGGGCAGGGCTGCCAGGGGATGCCTTAAATGAAGCCAGCTGTGGAATGAATAAAAGCGAGCATCACTTCCATTTACGGAGTGCTTGGTGTGTGCCAAGCGTGTACTAAGTGATTCACATGACTTAGCTTGCTACAGTCTCCAAACGACCCCAAGAATAGGGGTTGCTAGCATCTTCACCTTACAGGGGAAAAAACTAAGACTTGGAGAGGGGAAGTCGCTTGCTCTAGGTCATATACCTTAGAGGCTGCACAGCAGCTGTGATTTTGGGTTCAAGGAAACTGAAATGAACACATGCCCTTGTATGAAAGTTAGAGTGCAGTGGATTCCCAGTGACAGCCAGGCACGTGATGCTTTTCTCATTTCTGCTATGCCTCTGTACAACTGCCAAGTTATTTATTTAACATTTTAGGCTGACTCCAATATTTTTGGCTAAATACACTTATTTTAAAAGCAAACCTTATGTGGAAAGCCATATCAATTTCTGTACATTATAGATAATTATTTTAATAATGTCCAACCATGCGCCACCTAAAGTTATGCAAGAGTAAGTAGGCGGATGGATGAGTGAATAGATGGGTGGGATGGATAGTATGGATGGATAGGCAGGTGGGTGAGTGGATGGATGGATGGATAGGTGGGTGGGTGAGTGGATGAATGGATGGATAGGTGGGTGGGTAAGTGGGTGGATGGATGAATAGATGGATAGATGGGTGGGTGGGTGGGTGGATGGATGGATGGATGGATGGATGGATGGACAGACGGGTGAATGGAAAGATGGATAGGTGAGTGGATAGACAGGTGGGTGGGTAGGTGGATGCATGATGAATGGGAATGAGGAAGAAACAAAACAGAATCAAACTTCAGATGAGATGCCTGTCCCCATCTGGTCTTTTCTTTCATCCCTTAGGCTAAATCTCAACGAACTGTACTATCACTCCATTACAGACTGAGTTCTGGTTCTCCCACAGACCCTGTGCACCAGGTCCCACCTCCGCCCTCCTCCCCATTGCCCACACCGTCCTTCTGGCAGAGCCTGCGGGCCCCAGAGAGCTGTAAAACAATGGCAACAAGTAACCAGTGTTGCCTGTGGAATCTCCACCAGACAGGGAGAGAAGCAGCAAGCCTGACCCTACACGCCAGTTCTCATTTCTCAGACCAGATGGATGGAGCCAGCTCCGTGTGTCTGGAGCTGCAAATGCATGCCTCATTTTTCACAGCAATTGTTATGGAGTGGCACCCTCTTCGGGGAGCCGGGCATGTCAGAACCTATCACAGAGCATTTAACCCCCAACCTACTTGCTCCTCTATTCTGTCTAATGACACCGTCGGCAGCCATCTGAAAGCTGTTTCCAGAAATCCCAGTTCTGCCCTTGTAAAGCTGGGATCCTTTATGAGAGAGCTAATGATTTCCCAAGCTTCAAAGGGCAGAGAAAACCTAGGAGGGAGAGAGCATGATGTATCAATCAGAATTATAGCCTGTGGGATTCCTTTAGTTTAAGTAAAAACTAAATGTCATCAACCTCAAGCCCATTTTACTACTTGTTTCCATTTCTGAGGGAAATAGAAAAGATAAGAGGAAAAAAAATTTTAAGAGAGCATTTTCCTATTCCTATCCCTTTTGGGGACTGAAGTCAGATGTGGGAGGAGGGATTCCACCATTAACTCCCTAAGGTGCTTTCTTCAGTGCCAGGGGTGGGTGGGAATGGGAGGACTGCTCTGGAGAGGAAGGGTCAGCGTCCTCACCAGGAAATCTACAAAACTAGGAGTGCTAAATAGGTTTCATTTCAGGGGCCACTAGTAGTGGCTGTCCAAAGAAGTGTGTTAAAATGGATTCTGAGGCTCAACAGGAAAGGGCACTGAAATTGATTAGCAATGTCTGCCACGGGTGAAGAATAAGATTGTACCAACAGGTCCGCCTACATTTTCCACCTCTGCAAGAGCAGGAACCACATCTCATCTTTCCATTATCATCTCAAAGCATAGTGCCTGAAGCAAAGTACTTAATACATGTTTGCTGAATCCAAGATTATTATAATAAAAACTCAGAGTTTACTGATTACTCAATAGGTGCTAGGCATTATGCTATGCATGTTATACCTGGAAGCTCTTCCTCTGTGCGGTCAGGCTATCATTATTCCCATTGTGCAAAGGAAGACAAAATGATCTCAGAGAAATGCAGTCACTTGCTAAAGGCCACACAGTCAGGTACCTGCAGATGCTCAATGAGGAACTCTGCAATTGTTTGAAAGTCTTCCAGGAGCCCCTGCACCCCCGTTCTCAACCAGAGGAGTGCTTTTTCCCCCTAGGGGATATCTGGCAACGTCTGGGGACATTTTTGGTTTTCACACTCTGTGTGTGTGTATGTGTGTGTGTGTGTGTGTGTGTGATCAGCATTTGGTGGAGAGACAGCAGGGATACTGTTTAACATCTTATAATGCACAGGGCAGACTCCCATTATAAAGAATTAAACAGCCCAAAATGTCAATAGCACCAAGGTAGAGAATTCCTGATCTAGAGGTTTCTCTGTTTCTCTAGCCAACTTCTTCCCTTACTACCACCACCCCTCCACCAAAAATCCCCCAGATGGTGCTTCTGAGGCTCAACTCAGCAGAGAACAAATCCTCTTTTATTATAAGCACATCTCACTATTAGGTTCACAGCCTAATATTCAGTTATTCTCAATTACAGCTCCTTTTCAAAAACTAGATGTAATTAAGTTTAGTAGTTTGGTCTCATTTCCCAATATCTGGTTGAAGGGGTGAATTCTGTCAATTACATTAAGCGGCTGCAGCATCATTAGTCTCAAGCAATAATAACCTCTGCACGGCTTCCTACGTGGGCGTGAAGATTTGAACTTTGAGATCCTTTCTTTGCTTTCTTCATTTGGATTTTATTAAATCTGCCAATGCAAGCCTTAAAGCAACGGAAAACTGCTGAAAGGGAAAGGGAAAAAATATACGAAAATCTAGGCCTTATCATAACAGAGAAGACAAACAACATTTACAGCAATTAAACCAAAACAGAAACTTCTGTTTAACAATCAAAGCACCTATTAAGATGTCTCCATAGCTGAACAAAAGCTTCTTTTCTACTCTAATTTTCTGATAACAAGTCATGCAGACACACAGGCAGAATTTTGTGCATCCCTGGTGCCTACGGTCTCAGGAGTAGAATAATAGACATTTCTCCGTAGATATTTTCATTTCTAGTACACAGAAAGAGAAAGAGGAGGAAGGAGGGAGCTTTCTTCTCCCCTTGCACAGGTCTAGCTATCGATGTCTTCTGAGAAATGCATCTGCCCAGAAGGGGCTTTGCACAAAAGAGGGAAAAGCCAGGAGCCCTGGTCTTTGGAATCACCTTAGCAGTCAGAGGGACAAACAGAAGGCCCAACAGAAGGAACCAACATTAACAAAGCAACCACACCGCACAGAACTGCTTGATAAAAAATCAGGCTCTGACCTGGTGAATTTGAAAGCTCCCTGACGGATGAGCTAGGCACGGGAAAAATACGTGAGGATATACACAGAGATACAGGGAAAAATGGGTGACAACGAAGCAAAGGAAGAGGAGGAGAAGAAAGAAGAAAATAAGATATAAGAAAAATATGGCTGGGTGTGGTGACTCACACCTGTAATCACAATACTTTGGGAGGCCAAGGTGGGAGGATCACCTGAGGTCAGGAGTTCGAGACCAGCCTGGCCAACACGGTAAAACCCTGTATCTACTAAAAATACAAAAAAAATTATTTTCGTTTATGGCAGGCACCTGTAATCCCAGCTACCCAGAAGGCTGAGGCAGGAGAATCACTTGAACCTGAGAGGCTGAGGTTGCAGTGAGCCAAGGTTGTGCCATTGCACTCCAGCCTGGGCAACAAGAACGAAACTCTGAAAGAAAAAAAAGAAGAAGAAGAAAGAAAGAAAAGAAAAAAGAAAAGAAGGGGGGAGGGATAGCATTAGGAGATATACCTAATGTAAATGACGAGTTGATGGGTGCAGCACACCAACATGGCACATGTATACATATGTAACAAACCTGCACGTTGTGCACATGTACCCTAGAACTTAAAGTATAATAATAATAAAAAAGAAAAGAAAGAAGAAAAATAATAGTAGATCTGCTCTGTTGTGTTACCATGTGCCAAGCACTACTGTCAGACAGACCCTTGACATGTATTATCCCATTAATACAAACACTACGGAGTATATACACACGTAGCATATCAGCCATGATCATTATGTGCTATTTCAACAAGGAAATTAAAAAGTTACCCTGACTGCCCAAAGTAAATGCAAGTAAATGCCAGAATGGGGATTTTTAATTGAGCTGTGGCTGTGAATTTCATCTCCCTTTCACAGACGGGAATATTGAGGCTTAGAAGCAATATGCAATTGTCTAGAGCTGATAAGTGACTGAGTTGGGATTTAAACTGCAGACAGAAACAAACTGGATGCTTTTAGTCCAGACTTCCCTCCAACACCCTGTTCAACCCATCCTATACTGCCAAGGCCCCCTATCTACCTCTGTCTGAGAAGGACCAAGGAGGCCTGGGAGGTGATGTAAGAGCATAATGCTCCTGTCCCACCCAAAAGATGACCACATCCTAATCCCTGGAACCTGGGACTATGTTATCTTATCCAGCAAAAAGAGATGCTGAAGATGTGATCAAGTTAATTATCTTGAGATGGAGAGGTTACCCTGGATTACACGGGTGGACCCAATGTCACCATAGGCCCGTATAAGACGGAGGGAGAAGGGTGAGAGTCAGAGGTCAGAGAAGGGGACGTGACAATGAAAGCCGAGGTCAGAGTGATGCAA